TTCCGTCCTGGCCTGGTAGACTGCACTTGTGATTGTGCCTGCGGTGGAGAACCGTCTAAAACAGAATAAGCTGATTTACATAGCTAAAATATAGAATTAAACCTGGACCAGACAAAACGCGCGAAACGTTCTGAGAAACAGTGCCACCGGCAGCTAGTTCCTCCTCGTCAAAATCTACGTCTGGTTGCTCTACGTGTATCATCGTCTTGTTCAAAAGTCTGCAGGCCTCCTTCACGTGTCGAACTTCAACCTGAAAAGAAGAGTTAATTTTAGTGAACCCTTTTAGTGAATTGCTATAATAATAAATCTATTAACTCATTAATATTAACAGTTCCACAGCGGTAAACAACTATGAATCACTGCGCTTAATGTTGATGCAAAACTATCTGACGTGCCATAATGGCAGACAATCCTTATTCCCATGCTGACCTATGATCACGAGTCATGACTAAAAACTGTGATCCCGGGTATATGCAGCTCAAATGGGTCTACTCGACAAACATGATCCAGACTAAAGATATTCAAAGAAGCTTCAATGTGCAGCCGCTGCTCCTTTAGATTGAGAAGTCACAGCTGCGACAATGGGGGCACGTAGAGCGAATGCTTTCAGAAAGGAAGGTGAAACAGTTACTATACAGTTACTATACTTACTCGATCGACTGGTCGAAGAACCCAGAAAGAGCCAAGAATGGCATGGAGTAAGTACCTCGACGACTCCCCTTTAAATTTGGGATTTCTTGCTGAAAGCTCAGATGATGGCAAGAGATTGGGAACGTTGACGACTATGTCTGACGCTGCTGCTTCCACGACCCAAAAGGTTAGGCGGCCGTCGAAACTGGCTGACATTGTATGCCACGTGCAGGTCGCAGAGTGCTATATTTCGCGCCATATATAATGGTCTTATGATATTTTAATGCCGTGGCCATTAACTTGTGTGTAATCTGCGGTATCGTGCATGCAGCCATGTCGTGCTCTTCCTTTCAATCTTGATCTGTGAGTCAAATTTGGTACTACGATTTTCGCTATAAATACTTTTCAGAAGCGAACAAAAGAACCAATAATCACATGACAGAGCGAAGCGTGATGGAGCACAGACTAATGAATCTCCAAAGAAGCTACGAAGGCCAAATGTTAACCGTAAATCCTGAAGCGGTGAGCTAACGAAGTAACGGTAAACAGGCTAATAGAGTTCATAATGCTTTTTAAAAACTGACAAAAACCCTAAATGAAAGGATAGGGGCATTTGCGTTTATAATCAACACAAATGAAAACAAAACATCTATAACAACGAAGATAATATAATAAATAACAGATCGACAGTCTCCAATTCGGCTATTTGAAAACGGACAGTAATCAAAACAGCCCAAGTAATTTTGCGTCGTGGAAGAGCCCCAGTCGACCATAAACTAGGAACAAATGGAGAAAGTTTGCAACCGCCTGACTATTGGCAACAGTCTCAAATTCCGTGACCTGCGTGATTCTCCTGTTTTACTGAATATATAGTGCAATGTTGAACCTCGTGTTCCGATGACTTTGTGCAAAGAGGCTAATTTTTTACATTTTCTGAAAAACAGATCTACCATCACAGGGTGCAGGCCCCAGTTTCCCTCCAAGGTATTCGTGCTCGTTCACCTATCTTGGAAAGAAGAAAGGGAACAGACAGGAGATTCTGGTCAAATGACCCCTTTGTAGATGCACAGAGCTCTACAAAAACAAAAATACTTCATCCGTCATTTAACCTCGTCGTTGGGTTATCAATTACGATCATTCCAGTTGCAGCAAGTCCATCAAGCTCACCTCAAATCTGGAGTAATTACACCAACGCAAAACTTGCTGTTATCATCTCACATGGAGTTGTGATCTTGATCTCGGTTTTCAGATCTAGACTTTTGACCCTTTGGTTCCACAAAATAAACAATGATTGTATCCATAATAAAAAGAAATGCTGCGCTTCAAAATATTTTTAATTATCTGTTAGCTTAATGAGATAATTCGCTCTTTTTAACGCAGTGAATGAGACCAACAGGGAACCATTTATTTAAACACATGTTATAGCATATCTTACATTACTCTGTGCTGTAGTCTATAAAGAGTAACAGATAATAATGAACCCGAAATGACTCTATGGAACGAAACGATGCGATATGCATGTGACACTAAACTTGCTCAAATGTCATGGATCCGTGGACTATTGAAATGACACCCGGGCTACTGGAGCAAATGCATGATGCAATGTTGGGAAATGTGGTCCTGGAGAAGTTGTGATAATTCCTAAATCCACTGAATAAATATATGTTGTTTGTCGCCCATCTTATTGCTAAATTCTTCCCTCAGGTCTGTAAGCAAAAATTACAGTCTTTTTATGCCTATTTATTTACTAATAAATTAACATTATTTGGACTGAACAAATCGATAGGGGATATTCTTTTATTATAAATAAGCGTCGTCAACAACAGTGTAAACTTATAATTTATAGTAACCAAATAAATCTTTAAACTCATTCTAAGACAGTGCGTTAGATGACTGGAATCGAATATCAACTCTGATTCCATAATTGGAAAAATAAAGACAACAAGCGAAATTTTTATTTAACAGAACTTGCTCGTTTTGACAAAATGGACATTGATCATGGAAATGACCACCGATCATTACCGGGAAAGTTAAAAAATCAATTATACAACTTCATTAGGTCGCCTTTTGTTTGTCCTGATTGCACATTGTTACTGGGAAAACTTAAGTTTTGCAATGCAACGAAACTTTCAGAGAAGTAACACAACGGTTAACAATTCTGCTATGTCAGTTGGCAAAAATGAAAAGTTTGCAACAGTCGGAATACTGGCTTTCCGTAACTTCCGTGATGGAACCGCTTATTGCGCCATTCTTTTCGTGACGATAATGTGAGTCGTTGATCTCCATTTCCATGCCACCAACTAACCAGGAGTGCATTTTTTTGAAGGTTCACTTGACAGCAACTGTGCTTAAGCATAGTGTTTAGTCTTCTGTTTTTTCCCACATACTGACATCCATTTTTCTCCCTACAGAGTGGCTCCTCTGAAGGAAGAAAATCAACTTATCCTACTGGGACTAGAACCTAACCTAGGACTTTAGCCAACTTTGCCAACTGAACAACTCCAATCTAAAGCAAGATATTGTAAATTGCTTGATCAAGGCAATCGATGGTTAAGACAAAAATGCCTTGCAGTGGAATCAAACCGGCACCACAGGAATTCGAAGCCGACCTCTTAGGCACTGTGCCACTACGCCAACAGTTGAAAAGATTCAAAGCTTTTCGACTAAGAGTCCATTTTGCTATAGCGTCGACAGAGCAGTATGACGTAGCTCTCGTGTGCTGTCGCGCGCGTTTTTGAGGAATTTGGCAAAAATTCTGAATATATAAATGACCAGCGATATGGTTCTAATGGTGCTCCTGTTTTCAACTATTCTAGTTGATGGCAATCTGCAAGTCT